TATGCCGTCACTGATCTTAATATATTGGCAGTCCCCATAGCTTGCTACATTTGGGCATTTAATTTCAACAAGGTCAAACACTGGCTGCCTGTTTGGATCGTACACAATCCCATCAGGTGATGACCCCATCCATGGTGCGTTGGGGTGGATAAGGAAACTACAAGGATAGTGGTTGACAACTCTTACTCTGCAGTACTTCTTCACTGCTGCAAATTCCATGTCAAGCCCCCTTCTCATGTCTGCAGTTTGATGGCTAGGTCTGACTAGCCTTTGGAGGAGGTGATGTAAGGTTGCTTTAGCCTGTGCCAGTCAACGCAGGAACTCTGCTCTTTTGTACTGTTTTCAATTTTGTGTGCCGTCTATAAGGATGCTTGTTGGTTTTAAACTTGCCGGTCCCCAGACAATTTTATTTGCAATCATTTATAGCCCCCCTAAACCAGCTTTTTAGCAGAACTCCCTGAATTTTTATCCACTCTCATCTTAAATCATGACAGAGTTGGTGATGTCCATGTTGATGACTCAACTAATGTTCATGAACTTTTAAACATTGCTCCTTTTTTTTAAAAATTTAAACAGTATGTGTGCGGAAAAACACATAACCCTGGTCATACATTGGACCTTGTATTCACCCTTGGTGTAAAAATATCCTCTGGGATATATTGGACATGACTGTATCTGACCATAAATGTATAGTTTTTAACTGCAAAACACCAGTTGTCAACACCGTCTTTCCCAACTACTTGTGCACTTGCTTCCATAATGAGCAAAGTGTCTCAAAGTTATTACACATTATTTGAAAGTCTAAGCCCACAACTCTGTCAGTATTCCCACACCAAAGATTTGTCCGACCATTTCAACTCAATAAGCTTGTCTTCTGTTAATATTATTGTACCTCTTACGGTTAGCTCCAAGCCTTCAGAAAGTAAGCAGCCTTGAATAAATGAAAACATCCGCAACTGTAAAAGAGAATGTAGAAAAGCAGAGTTTAGATGGAAAAGGTCTGGCCTCCAGGTTCATCTCATTATCATGAGGTAGCTATTGTTATACAATATGGTGAAGGACACAAGAAAACAGTATTTCTCAGAACTTATTTCTGCACATCAGCACAACTCTAGGTTTTTATTTGATACTGATGATCAGCTGGTAAATCCAGTCCCCCTTTGTGTTTTTTATCTTACTTTACTGATAAAGTGGAGTCAATTAGAGCCTTGATTAAGCAAGATAGTTTTAACCAGTTTTATCCCACCTTTCTTGATCATTTAGAAACAATATTGTGTATGAGAGTGTCTTCCAGCCCTCTTGATATATTACCTGCAAAGTTTTTACTAAAAGTAATGGACTCTGTTGGGCCTTGTTTGCGCTCTCTTTTGAACAGTTCGTTGTCAACTGGTTGTGTACCTGCCTGTGTGAATCCTCTGCTAAAAAACCTAGTCAGGATCCCTCAAAATTTTAGACCTATTGTCAAGTTACCATTAATATCCAAAATCTTAGAAAAAATAGTGTCTAAGCAACTTCTCTCTTTACTAGAAAATATCATCAGAGTTTCAGTCTGGCTTCCGTAAGTATGACCTTTTAATGGCTGCTGATGAGGGCATGTTTTCAGTTCTTATACTCCTGGACCTTAGTGCAGCTTTTGACACCACTGATCATAACATCCTGTTAGATAGACCGAGGCACTGGGTGGGGTGGGTCTCTGTCAGCAATCACTTCTCTTCATTTTCATCTCCTATGTATGGTGTGCCTCCAAAGTTGGTCCTGGGACCAATTTTATTCTCCATGTACATGCTTCCCCTTGGGCACATTATTCAGAGACATGGTGTCTCTTTTAATTTTTATGCCGATGACACACACATGTACCTACCTTAGATCCACAGATCCTGGAATGATGTGCTCTCTCAATGACTGCCTTACTGATGTTGATATGTTCTGTACACATGACATCCCTTGCACGTCTGTCCATCCTGCAAGAGGGATCCTTCCTCAGTTGCGCTTCCTGAGATGTCTACCATTTTTTTCCCCATTGAAGTTTTTTTTGGGGGGGGGGGGGTTCCTTATCCACTGTGAGGGTCCAAAGGACAGAAGGATGTCATATGTTGGAAAGCCCTCGGAGGCAAATTGTGATTTGTGATATTGGGCTTTATAGATAAAATTGAATTGAATTGAAAAAGCTGGATGTCAAAAAAAAAATTCTTCACCTGAACTCAGAGACTGTTGTCATCTGATCCCCTATTGAATAATATCAAACCCATTGCAAGAAATCTTGGAGTCTGGTTTGACAGTTATTCAAGTTTTGAGGAGCATGTCACAAAAGGCCCGTTTCCACTGAAGAAGTTCCTGGTACTATTTGGGGGGCAGGAACTACTACAGGAACGTCCTCTCGCTCGGCCCTCTCAACCACCGTGACTCCACTGAGAGAGCGGAGTAGGAGGAAGGTTCCTGTAAATTACCGGGCTCTGGATGTGACGTAATCATTGTGCGACCATTTTGACCGGGGTGACGTAGGGATGTAGTTAGCTGTTAGCCGTTAGCAGTGTCTGTATTAACTCAATAGCTCAATAAACGGTCCGTGAAAAAAAAAAAATTCCAGCGGATGTCTTAGTTACAGCATGATTGAGCTAACTGGAGTAGTTTCATGTCGTATCCGACAACGGGAGGCTTTTAACAGATGACGTCCTTTTGTTAGCTTTGCTGCTGCTGTTAGCTGTCCCTGTCAGCTGATGCTTTCTAGACATTGTGATTTCCCAAAACTGAATAAGTACCACACATAGCAACACAAAACTGCTTTGCTAGCTCAGTCATGTTGTAACTAAGGTATCCGCTGGAAAAATATTTTTTTCACAGACCGTATATTGAGTTAATGAGTTAATACAGACACCACTAACGGCTAACAGCTAACGGTTAACCCAGCTAATCTAAGATAACCATAGTAATTACAAAACGTCACATCCTGCCTTGAGTATATCCAGTCAGCACCAAGTAATCTCCAAGTCCCAGCCAGGAGTCTCTCGGGGCCGTTCTGAGTACCTACTCCGAGGCAGGGACTTGTTTAGCCCCTGTAAAAGTTCCGGAAATCTGTCCCTCGGGGGTGGTTCCTGCGGTGGAGACACACACCAACGGCCCTGGCCCCGTAAAATTACCCCAAAGTTCCTGCAGTGGAAACGGGCCTAAAGCTTGTGCAATCATGTTTTATACTTTTATCTGAGAAATATTTCAAAAAATACTCTCTCCCAGCTACATCTCCGACCTCTTAGTGCTGCACACGCCAGGATGTACTTTGAGGTCCTCAGGCAGAGCTATTTTGTCTGGTGGCGGTCGCCCCCCCCTTGTTGAAAAAGGCGTGCTAAAGTGCCCTCTGGGGAGCCAAAACGCACGCTAAAGTGCCCTCCTGGGAGCCAAAACACACGCTCAAGTGCCCTCTTGGGAGCCAGAACGCGCGCTAAAGTGCCCTCTTGGGAGCCAAAACACACGCTAAAGTGCCCTCTTGGCAGTTAAAATGCCCTCCTGGGAGCCAAAAAGCAAGCTAAAGTGCCCTCTTTGGAGCCAAAAAACACACTAAACTGCCCTCTTGGCTGGTTAAAACATGATAAACTGCCCTGTTGGGTGGGAAAAACGTTACTGTTGCAATGACTTTTATGTTGGGCCCTTTTTTGATCTATATTGAGCCAGAACTATATCTCACAGAACCAGTTTGGATTATCTGGTGCTAATATGGTGTTAAAATGCACTAGAATACAGGAAATGGCATCTACTTAATTGAAAATTTTGGGGGGGGGGGGACGCCCCCAGGGATTTATTTCTTTTTTACATCCATGTCTTCTTCTTCTTCACAGTCCAGTGTTGAATCTACACAGTTCTCGTGGGTGCTGATCGTAACTACAAACTAACTTGAGTAGTCTGTCTAGTTAGTCTGTTTTAAGGCTATATAATGTGCTATTTGTATAACATATAAACATGTCGAAAGTGCCCTTGAAAACACGTGGAACTTAGTGCCCTCTTCAGTGGCGAGAACACGCTGTATGTGCCCTTTTTTTTCTTTTCGCCCCTGCCCTTCAAAAAGTCTGTGCACACCACTGCAGAGCGTTTGCTGTCGGGGCCCTGAGGCTCCGGAATAGTCTGCCCCAGAGGATATCAAGTTGGCCGAGTCAGTGATCTCTTTGATGTCCCTTTTTAAAACTAATTAGATACAATGGGAAATTAGATACAAAGATATCCTTGAAAAGTGTAGGTCACATTGAATCTAATATGTGTGCCATGCCTGTGTGTTCATATTTCTCTTGTTAGTCCAGAAAGGAGTGACATGTTTGACGCAAGTTATAGCAGTTGGTTTACAGCATACACTTGTGGCTTCACCTTGCACAGTATCTTTGCCTGATGTCTCTCCCGCTAAGGATCCCCTTCAGCTCTTTCACTGACAATCCTGGGGTGGCACCAAAACCAAAAGCTATAAATGAATTTCAGGAATTTTATTATGCTTTCGTAGTATACAGGACACTTGAAAACAATGTCATTATGGAGAGTTGAGGATTCACATATTGAAATACTTTGGTGTCTTATTTTACAATGAATATTACTAATTATCTGATGTGCATAGACTAATGTTGGGTTGAGTTTCACAACAATACTAATAAAAATAAAAATGTTTAATTACAAAATGGATATAAAGCCAATGCACAGGCACTAGGACAGCTGTGACATGGTCTCTTTTTATACCCATTTAAAACCTGACAGCGAAATTCTTAACAGAGATAGATGACAGTCAAGTCAGGAAAGGACAAAGACTTGGAAAACCTTACCAAATCTTTGATGGACAAAAATTTGTTTTGGAGATTTTTAACTGCAGAAAGAATTATTGGACAATTCCCCATCCCTGCATCTCAAGATAAGTATAAGAATCAAATCAACACCTCTGGTTCTAGCAGGAAGTTTAACATAGGCAGCTAGAAAGCCTGGCCATTATGTTCAGGCTGTATAGTTTAAGACGTGTACTCTTTTGTTTCCAGAAGCCAGTGATAAAGAGGAACAGGAAACACTCCAGCAGACCCAGGAGCTCATCTCCTCAGAGAAGACAACCTCAAACCCTGGGAAAGAAACAAGGTGGCAGGGCGTACAGAGAAAACCGCACCAGGTCACTGTCTCACACTCCAGGACCACAGTCCCTGTCCCCTCTGAGACCTGGAAACACAAAGAGGCTGGAGCAGCTCAGCCTGGACTCTACAGCTTTAGACCTGGCTGACTGGGACCAGACCAGCATCTCCCAGAAGGTAAGCACAAACGACACAGCTTCGTTGATCATCATTTTCTGCCACTAGATGCCAGAGAAGAGCAAAGTTAGACATGTCTCCCCACAGCAGTTAATTCTACAGTACTGGGCTCTCACTGAGAGTACTCTACAACTTGTGTTTAATACTAATATCACTCTAACCTCTCTTTCTCCCATTTTATCTCATGTTTCACTAGGGAGAAGGTTTGAGAGTCAGTCGCAGTGACACAAAATGAGTATTTGGCAAAAAAATACTTTATTTTGACGTAATGTCCATCTTGTGACTGTAAAAGTTTCCAAACACATGTTGATTTAAGGCCCCATATTGTGCTCATTTTCAGGATCATGCTTTTGGGTTTCTACTACATGTTCACATGCTTTAACCTTATGGGCCCAAACGACGCATAGTGCGTCCAAATTCACACCTGTTGATTTTCTCTGCGACCGTGCGTCATAGCGAGAAGCCACGCATATCACGTGAAACAGCAGAATTGTAGCTTTCCGACAAGACCAAGCACTTGTCGATAGTCCAATGTTTTCACAGCGACAAAAAATTGATAAAGTTACAATAAAATGATGTATAACAGAGCTTTTATACAGCTTTGCACACACATTACTCTTGGATGGATTACTCGCGAATGCAGGCTCGCACAGAAATGCCACGCATATCACATGAAAGCGCATTGTGCTGTCATCCCATCACACTATATATACAGATTGATTGTCTACAAAATAAAAACCTGACGAATTTCTTTACAATCCATTATACAAATCTTGTTATCAGTCACTTCATATAGTGAGGAATATCGTATCTTACCACGTCTTAGGCTTGCCTATGTTTCTCCCTGTCTATCCATATTTGTAGCCCAGCTTTCAAGATGCAAATATCTCCATATTGTCCAGCTGACACTTCATCAAACTTTGTATGACAAGACCAGCCACTTCACCTTTGCGCACCCAGATAACTGTAGCCTAATTATGCATGCATTACAGGGCTGTAGTCACCATATACACTGAGGGGGACATGTGTCTCCCCCAATGCCCAAAATGCCCCCTCCCCAATATATAACTGAAACTGAAAAACAACAATAAACTTTGTTTACTGCAAACAAAGTGGCAAATATTATCTCGGAGGACATCATTGCACTTGGCTGACTATTTTTCTATTATCTCAGATGTAAATATTGCATGTTTCTTTCTGATAAAACACATTTTTGACTTGTGAATGAGTCAATGGAATTTCTTGCAATAATGAAAAAATACTGGCAATCATGTCTGCCTGGCACAAACCACATGTTTTGGACAGCTGTGAAGTGACAGAATGTCCCACCATCATGGTTCTTATATTACCAGATTCCAGAGAGTCTCCCCTCTTCATATATGGCAGAATATGCCATTTTCCAACTTGCTATGGTGAGATACATGTAAAAATGTAAGAATTTAGTAACACAGATTTGTTTTTGTCATTGATATAAAAAATAATATAAAATACAGGCACACAGGAGGACATGAAATGATGGCAAATCTGGATAGCCCACATTGTCCTGAAAAAAACACATATAGCATGTGTATGTAGCTTTTATAATGACTGTGATATGAGCTTAAAAGTAAAGGCAGTAAAAATACCCCAAAAACGCTTAGGGCCCATAGGCCCATATGTTAAAAAAACAACAACATTATTTTCTCATACTGTCTGCCTTAAAGGGGAACTACGATGTTTTTTTTTTCAACCTGGGCCCTATTTTCCAATCTACTTTTGTCTAAATGAGTGATAGGATGTTCAGTATTTGACATTACTCCAGTATGAAGCTAGGGCTGACCTGCCTGCAGCCTGTGAGTGCGCGCTATATTAAGTAATAGGGCACTCAGACAGCGTCAAACAACGTCAAACGTCAAAACACGTCCAATAATAGTGCATTTTTTTCACACAGATAGGCTCAGATTGTTAGTATAAATATCCGACAACATAATGGAAAGAAGAAATGAACGTCTGTGTTTACCTTTAGCTGGATTCGGACATGTTCCTCTGCCTGTTGCAATTTTAGTATACGAACTACCGAAGTAACACTGCTCCCTCTCTCTCCTCATCCGCTCTTCAATTTCAATGAGCTACATCCGTGTACTCCATGTTCAAATAAATACGGGCGATCATCAAATTCAAATGGCTCATCCAGATCCAGCTGGTCAAAATTGGGTAAAAATTCAGCCATGAGTACTCCAAACAGAGTAACTCCTCGCGTTTGTAAGGTCACTTGACTTGCCACAACTAACATGTCCAAATTTTTAACAACTTGATCTGGATGGACCGTATTGTATATTGAACACGGAGTACACTTTTTGGGCAGCTTGTACTTAAAGGTCCAGTGTGTAGGATTTAGGGGGATTTTTGGTAGAAATGGAATATAATATTATAACTATGTTTTAAAACTATGTTTAGTGTACAGCACAGGCCAAAAGTTTGGACACACCTTCTCATTCAATGCGTTTTCTTTATTTTCATGACTATTTACATTGTAGATTCTCACTGAAGGCATCAAAACTATGAATGAACACATGTGGAGTTATGTACTTAACAAAAAAAGGTGAAATAACTGAAAACATGTTTTATATTCTAGTTTCTTCAAAATAGCCACCCTTTGCTCTGATTACTGCTTTGCACACTCTTGGCATTCTCTCCATGAGCTTCAAGAGGTAGTCACCTGAAATGGTTT